AGCCTTACATTCATACATCTTCATTTATTTATTTATACATTAATACATATAAACTCCTCCACCACTCCCTCACTCTCCAGTCTTCACATCCAAATAGTAAACAATGGCATCCTCGTCATCTTACACCTTCCTTCTCTCCCCACTTTTCCTCATCCTTCTCACCTCCGCCACCGCGACCACTCGAGCTTCCGCCACGTTATCCGGCCGCCGCCGCCAATCCGTCATCGCCGCATCTTGCAGCAACGCAAGGCACCCGGACCTTTGCTACTCCTCCCTCGCCGCCGCCCCCGTGGCCGCCACACAAATGGCGACCCAGAAGGACGTCATCAAGGCCTCCCTCAACGTCACCTGCGCCGCCGTCCAGCGCAACATGGTCGTCATCAGGAAGCTCATTGCCACCAGGAAAGATATCCCCACACGCGCCAGGTCAGCCATGCATATATGACCCATCCCATTGTAGCTTCTCATAATTAGACTATAAATTAACTTAAAATCGCTTTTTCCCCCCCGACTCTGAAGTCTGAACTATGAGGTATGTTTTCGATGGTCTTTTTGTCATTTTGTATCGAAATTTTGTTATACGTGTGAACTAGCTATACTCCCATGGAACTATGAACCGTCCATCTATTCTCATAGGAAAATGGAACCCATAGATGACAAAGTTTGTATGAAAAGGAGTTACAAAATGACGTGTATATGGAAATAACAAGAAAATATAAATATTATTGTAATGGAGATATTGGAAGACAGGGGAGAAACTGAAATTTTTGGAAGTCTTGTTCTATAAATAAGTTAGGGTATGTCTATTATGACATGCATGTCACGGTGACATGCACTTTTCGGTCGACCTATTCCTAAGGGCGGTCGACCGAATAGACTAATTTGGACAGCACGAGAAAGCCTTGCGGTCGACCGCCACGACCACCTGGTCGACCACATTTAGTTTAAGTTGGTATTTTTGGTCGACCAGAATAGAACCTCGGTCGGCCATTTCGTTGGCGTCAGAAACAACATGGTCGACCACCTAATATATAGGTCGACCACTTGATGGCAGTCATTAACAAAATGGTCGACCGGATAAGGAAAGAGGTCGACCAGATAGAAGATAAGTGTTCTATCAAAGTGTCCAATCATTTGACGTAAAATGAAGATCAAGTGTTGGTTTCTCGGTCGACCTAATCCAGTACGAGGTCGACCGAATACAAGAAAGTCAACCTATGCCCCGTGTCTTTTTTGCTTATGTATGTCGATTTGTGTGGTTAATTTAATCGTATAAATTATGTTTCAAACCATCATAATTAGTCATTAATAATTATAACAAGGACTCATCAATTCACAGCATAACAACTAAAAATAAAACACACATAAAAATAGCATAATTGTTCACACATAAAAATAAAACTAAAAAAACCATCATAGCATAATTGTTCACACATAAAAATAAAACTAAAAAAATAACAGAATAACAATCAACAATCGTTTTGAAAACTAAAACACACAATATAAAATCTCCTCTCTCCTACTCATCTCCCCCCTCTCCCTCATCCACATTTTTTTGATTTTCTTCATTGGTGGTGGTAGCATGGTGGTCGGATGTGGTGGGATGCATGTATCTTCCGCTGAAAGATCGCCACTCATCTCGCATCTCATTCACGGTCACCTGCATTGTGCTCATCTGGGCGGTCATTTGCCCCATGTAGTCGTACATGCCAGTCATCTGGGTGGATATCTGGCCCATGTACTCGTACATGCCATCCATGCGCTCCCACACACGCTGTAAGGTGATCGGTGGAGTTGAAGTCTGTGCCTCCCCCATTGGCTCGTCTCGAGCTCCTTGATCACCATCATCACCATCATCATCATCCTCATCATCATCATCATCATCACCACCACCACCATGAGCAATGTTTGCTCTGACATACTCACCATTACGCAGCTCAAAGCCCATCTTTTTCAGAGATGAAACAGTATAGAACTCCTGCCTTGAGATCGTTAACCCCACCTCTTCACTTAAATTCACATTAAAATGCTCAAATGTCACAGTGAGGATCATCCCATAGGGAAGATTCCTGTTTGAACTCTCCGCAGCAGTAAGCATGTGGTTAAAGATCAAGTATGGCAAGTTTACCTTCTCGTTTAACAGTAGGTTGGTGAGGAGCTCCATGTCGAAGTAGGTGACTGTCTCCCGATGTCCACCCTTTGGCAGAATGTTGTAGGAAAGCATGTGGTGAAGAACTCTGGCTTGAACTGTCAGGTGGTTACTCGATGGCCTATTGCGCCCCTGGGCATCTTCCTCTTCATCAAGACCACATACCGTCTGGATTTGCTTGGCTCTCGTGAAATGCGTTTCATTCCAAGCACCGTAAGAATTGATTCTCCTTTCCTCGTTTGGAGCCTCCAGTACTTGCGCCAACACATTCTTGCTGATGCGCATCGCCACCCCATTCACATAGGATTTGAATGCGTGAATGGATCCATTTGCATTGCGCTCGTAGGAGATGTTGTTGTAGAAGTATTGTACCATTTTTGGGTAGTATGGTACATTGAGTGATATCACCTTCAGCCACTCCTGCTCGATGAAGGGTCCCAGAAATCCGTAATTCTCGAAATGAGAATACGCATCCGTCGTCAATGGCCTTCCTGGAGCCACCCTGCGGTTGTGCATGCTCTTCTCTTCGTAGTTCTCACTTTGCTCCTTCGTCTGGAACAGATTCGAATTGAACTCTTCCCATTCCGAACTTGAGGCAGCAGCTTTTTGTGCCTTTCTTTTCTTTTTGCAGCCAAACATCCTGCGATCAAACAAGCAAGAATACACATTAGTCCAATTTTCGTAATGAACAATACGCGGTCGACCACTCCACCAAGCGGTCGACCACAATTAATTGAAAACGACAATGGGTCGACCTCAGAAGAATCACAGGTCGACCACAGTTAGTTTAAAACGAGAACGGGTCGACCTCAGAAGAAGCATAGGTTTACCTCAGCTAATTTAAAACGAGAATGGGTCGATATAAACCCGTAACAATTCAAGTACAAAATTGCTTTCATAGGTCGACCTCAGAACCATCATAGGTCGACCTCGGCTAAATTGAAACGAGTATGAAATGGCCCAAATGATGGTACCAATTCAGTGCAAAACAGATCCGGTATTATCTGTATCATCTGAATTATCCATAGCTCCTTCTCGAGCATCATTAGGTTCCTCATCGAAGTTAACCTCATCATCATCTCTATCATCTGTATCATCTCTGTTATCCATCCTGCAACGATCGGAATACGAACTTAATGTCAAAACATACACACTTTGCTCTCATCAGGTCGACCTGAATGAACTGTACGGTCGACCTTATTACTAAATAACAAACATGCGGTCGACCTAAATGTACTGAAAGGTCGACCTAATCCTATAATTACGAAAGTACGGTCGACCGGATGGTGTGGGTGGTCGACCGGATGGTGGGAAAAATTTAACCACATACAACCATTAAAAAGCATATACGAGGCATACCTTAGCAACGAGGTCGACCACTTATTGTTACGGTCTACCGGAATAATACTAAACCGCCACCAACACCCGATCACAATAAGAGCGATGAGATTATAACTTCACTCCAACAAATTGTAAGATTTCGTGGTATGATTAATGTCTGAAGACTCCCATCTATTTATAGATAATTTAGACGAATTCCTTATCCAATTGGTTCAAGATATATAAAATCATAATTCGACAAGGACAAGTACACAAAATCCTAATTGTACAAGGACAGGAATCATCACGGTCAACCTCTTTGCACAAATGGTCGACCGTCTTGGGTAAATGTGGAACAGGTCGACCTCTTTACACAAATGGTCGACCGTTGTTTTTAAATGTGAAACAGGTCGACCTCTTTACTGAAATGGTCGACCATTGATTATAAATGTGAGCACAGGTCGACCTCTTGACAAGAATGGTCGACCGTACTTTTATTATGGCCAAACAGACGAGAATCCATGCTTATTTTACATGGTTTTTGACTTTCCTACGGTATCATAGGTCGACCTTAAGCTTCACGAGGTCGACCTGTGCTCTGCCTTTGGGTATGCCCGCTTTGAGTATGTGGTCGACCACTTGTTCTAGACGATTGAAATCGTAAATTCAGTCACATCCATAATTGTATAATAAATCTAATAAACGATAAACATTCAAAATCCAAAATGACACGATCTCGCAAATACAAATTAAATGTATGGTCCAAATAATGCAACATTGTAACTTAACGACTTCATTTCTTTGCTTTTTTCTTTGAACTCTGTCTCTCTTTGCCTCGTTCCATGCATTCATCTACTACATGCTTGAAAAGATTTTCTCGTGCATGGTTTTCAAAATGTGTAGCCAGATACCATAGAATCTCCTTTCGAGCCGGTAATTTGTGTTCTTCTCTTATCTGCATTATGCCATGTAAGATTTCGTTACAACTAAAAAAAGTGTAAATTATACTAGTTATTTGTTTGATGATATACTCACCACTCTATCAAGATCCTTGGATCCATAGCGCATCCACTGCATGACGTGCACACCACACTCAGTACTATTCCTTTGTCTTTGAACTGGTAGCTCAGCAAAATTGAAATCTCCAAAATTTGGTACTACTACATTGCTCGTGCGCTCTGGTTTCAAAATATCATCCAAAGTGGACAACTACACACAAATAACGAATATTTTAAGCTTCTAGCATACTACGTAACGCTTAGTAGTCAGAAAATTATAGGAAACACTTACCAATTTCTTGCATAGTTCTGATTTACGCCTACGATTCGCCTCACTAGTTGAAGGTAGACTGTCAAGCAAAAATGCAGTTTTTTGCTGGACATTGACGAGATACAGAAACCAATGACGTGCTTCATCGTCAAGAACTGGCATAAATATCTAGCAACGAAACACTCACTATATGTTATAAACAGCGAATACAAACAAATGCACTTTCGAAATTTAATGATATAGGGACATTGACTAGACTAACCTTCTGGCATGCACTGACATTCGGCATAAAGTCCACGCCATCATGCATCAACTTGGTACGAATTTGTCTGGTCTTCATGTTAGCGCGTACCATTTTCTGCACCATGTTTTAGTTGAGATGAATTGACATGGTACAATATAAATAACTAGGTTATGACAAATAATTTGACATTACGGCTCTTACAGAAAACATATTTGGCAAATACCACACATTTGGCTCTTTCACATCATGTTTTTCGGACATTGTTAGTGCCCTTGCACACAAATCCACTACCTACCATCCAACAATCAAACACAAAATCATCGTAAATCGTAACATAAATAGTGCACAATTCATACGAAAGTCGTTGTAGTATAGTACTTACTGATGAGCAAACCCAGCTTTTCTCGCTAATGACCGAACTCAAATAATGTCGTTGCACGTTTTCAGAAAAAAAGTCCACAACGTTCAAACTGCAAAAATCAAGATAACAGAAATGTCAATTGTTTTTTTGCAACATACAGGTCGACCTGTACACAGTCACGGTCGACCTTATTGGACAAACGGTCGACCTTATTGGACAACCGGTCGACCTTATTGGACAACCGGTCGACCACACGTACTAAAAAAAACATCTTACTTGTCCCAATTCTTGTCCCCAACCTTCTCTTTAGTAACAACATAATACAAGTCTTCAACTGGATTTTGAAGATTTTTGGTGAATCCTTCTAGACCCTCCACTTTCATGACCTACAAATCATAGTTAAAATTAAAGTAACATATGAATACAAACACACATTATAGATGAATATGTAACGTAAACTTACCCCGTGCTTTTCGAAAGGACTCTTAGATTCATCTTCATCGCTATCATCACTAAATAATCCTTTTCTTACAAATTGATCCTTCTGTGGAGTGGTGTAGGAGTCACTTTCATATCGAGGTCTCTTGTAATTAGGAGAGGAACCCTTGCGGCCATTCTTTGTTTCACTCTGTCAAACATATAAACAAAACAGATTAGCACTAATGATAGTAATACTAATATCTTCAATCACATATGAATATACTTTGATACCTTTAAAATGTGCTCTTTCAATAAATCGTCTATGCTCTGGTAGCAATTTTCAGAGTCATCATGGTCTTCCTCCTCTTTACCAAAGTCAAATTTCTTTCCTTTACCATTTCTTCCGCCATTCTCCATTCGTTCTGCACTTATATCTTTGATAGCACCTTCTAGCCTCTCAAACTCGTCATGCATCATCCCAGTCATATCTGTCAGTTGAACTGACAATTGCTCGACTTGTGTTTGACACACCACCAGCTTCTCTTGTGTGGCTTTCAACAATTTCATGATTTCACCCAAATCTTGATGCAGTTTCTCATCATGCGTCATCGTCTAAATAATTTAAAGAAAAATTATAATCATAATTCAAGTACAAATTTCTACAATTGACCAAAAAACAAAGACGTGGTCGACCTGACAAAGTATTAGGTCGACCTGGAAGACAAATAGTGACTACCACAACTCGTCAGGTCGACCTCTGTTATTCCTAGGTCGACCTATCCAGCAGGAAAATAACAATTAACAACAAAAAGTAAGTTCAAAATTAAACCGAAAATAGGATAGGTCGACCAGATATCTGGCGCGGTCGACCTTTTCAAGCACAACATAGTCATACAAACAAAGCCAAAGTCGACATTCAGGTTGAATAACCAAAAAAACATAAACGGTCGACCTTGAAACCCATTAGGTCGACCAATTGGGTTACCTCGCAAGTACAGAAGTCCAAGTGTTGTGGCCTAAATTCAAATACGAAGAATTGTCTCGTCAGGTCGACCTGGTTGACGTCGCGGTCGACCGAATTGAATTCTGCACCCAACAATATGTCAAGTTAGCCGGTGGAAATCACGCATTAAAAAAGAAGACGGCGAATGCTACATTAGGTCGACCTCACCTTAGACCTGGTTGACCACTTCCAACACGTACAACAGCAACCGCGAACGATCTTCTTCACAAAGGCTCTAAGTCGGAAAAAAACCTAATTCAGACTTGGTGGCGTTGAAGGGGACTTATATTCGTATTTATAGAGATTGAGGACGTGAATGGGTCGACCCAATTCGTTTCCTTGTCCAATTGTGGAACCTTTCTGGTGTTGGAATCCATATCCAATACGGATACGGTGTAAAAGCGGTCGACCTCTTCATAATGAGGTCGACCTGTTAGGTGCACAAGGGTCGGCCTATGAGATATTTGGGTCGACCTGTCCTTCTGTTAGACCACCAAAGCGGTCGACCTTATTATGTAAGAGGTCGACCGCTTCTCGGAACCCCACATACATGATTTAGTCCATTCGGTCGACCGCATGTTGGATTCGGTCGACCGAAAAGTCCATGTCACGGTGACATGCATGTCACCGTAGCAAAATCCAATAAGTTATAGTTCGTCATTTCGGGGACATTCGATATAAAAATGATTCAATATTTTTTTCTAAAAATCTGCATAAATTTAAATGGAAAATTCACAATATTATTTAAAATAGTATCTATTTAATATATATGATTTGAAATAAAGAATGATAATGATAAATTAAAAAGATTGAAATAAGAATTTTTTACTTGAGAGATTGAATCAAGTGATCTTCCTCCAAATATAGTCCACTTATAAGTATAACCTTTAAATTCAAAGCATTAATTATATATTTTATTTAAATTCACGATGAAACACAAATACGTCATTATAGTAATTAGTCATTTACATAATAGAAGTCAAGAAGTCCCCTATAATTTGGTGGGTGTGTGCTGAGGGGCCTCCACATAGAGGTGGCAATTTTGTATGCACCAATCCAATTTAATTTATTCAGTAAATTTAATCGAAATCCAATTGGATTGGTGGATTGTTGGCAATCTCCATTTTAGTATCTATTTTTTATAATATACAATTTGACACCTTCATTTTATTTTTAAATGAAAATTATCACTGTAAAATTACATTTAAACTTTTATTATGATATTTTGATACTTAAAATTTTCAAATTTCCATAAGTCCATTGTTTGGATGTCACTTGGATCCATGATCCACCAATCAATGATTCCAATTCATTTGTCACCTTTATTTCGAGCACACCCCAAGACAGACCCTATTGGAAAGAAAGTGCATAATTCACATGTCCAAAAGTAGGTGTGATAAACGGTTATGTTGTTAAGGGTTTAACCGCTAACCATACCTCTAATGGTTACACCATTAACCGCTAAGGAGATTACGTGATGTTTAATGGAAGCTCAAAATCTCAAAATCTCTTATCGAGTTACCAAGTCATAAACGATTAATATTCAATGGTTAGCGGTTAATCGATAAGTATTGTTAACTACTAAAAACAAGCAAATGTCACTCTCAACGAAGGAAAAAAGTCCCTCCGGCCACTCTACAGTCACTTACTCCAATCTGCTCGTCTTCGTTGCTCAAATGAAAAACGAAGGATAGTCAAAGAGGTTGTGCCGTGAACCATGAATCACTTGGTGTCGTGCTAAGGACCCTCTATGGTAGCTTCCCCATCAGATCAATGGCAGGATAATCAAGAGAGAGGATCGATGGCCAACCTTGATGTTGTTGTCGCCCCCAACCATCCTGTTATGTTTAACTTGGAAGGAAAAGAGGTAAGAAGATATGAGAAAAAGGTGGTGGTTAGGGTTCGACTATTCGAGAGCAAAAGAGAATAAGGATTTTGCTTTCTTTCTGTTCGTAGGTTGATAGAGGGAGTGAATTCATTTTTTATCAATAGGAGAAAAAAGAGAGGGACGAGAAGACGAGAATGAAGAGAAAAAGGGACTGTGCGGTTAGGATTTTTCCTGCACATCAATTTATTTTTATACATTCTCTAAAAATACAATTGTGCCCCTTTCCTTTTGTCCTATCCAAAAACCTACCACCATTCTCTCTTTTAGGTGGGTAGCTAATTAACCGCTAAAATAACCGTTAATCGAATCGACGGTTAATCACTAAATCTTGACAGATCAACTAATGATAATGATATATTGATCGACATGTAACCACTAACCACATTATCGGTTAATAATTATCCGCTAACCAACCCGACTATCACCCCTATTAAAAAAGAGTCCATTAACGTACTTACTTTTGTATAATGGAAATAACCATGTTGTTTTAAGTTTATACTAATATGGCTAGATAATCACGGTTTAATTTTGTATGCAGGTCAGCACTACATGATTGCCTGGTGACCATGGATGAATCGCTCGACGAGCTCCACGCGACACTTGCCGACTTAGGCGAGTACCCCAAAACGAAATCCTTATACCAACATGCCGACCACCTTAAAACCCTACTCAGCGCCGCCATGACCAACCAAGAATCCTGCCTCGACGGCTTCTCCCACGACCGCCACGACAGGGAGATCCGAAACTCCTTCGAAACGGGTCTGGTTCGGGTCGAGAAGATGTGCGCGAACGCGCTCGGGATGGTGGTCAACATGACGGAGGTGGACATTGCTGCTAACGGCGTCAGCAGGGTGGAAGATGAAAAGAAGAGTACTACTACTAATGGGGTGTGGCCGGAGTGGATGAAGGCCGGGGACAGGAGGCTGCTGCAGGCTTCGACGGTGACGGCCGACGTGGTGGTGGCGGCGGACGGGAGCGGGAAGTATAGGAAGGTGTCGGAGGCGGTGGCAGCGGCGCCGAAGAAGAGTGGTAAGAGGTATGTGATAAGGATAAAGGCCGGAGTGTATAGGGAGACGTTTGAGGTTACCAAGGACGATGGGAGATGGGAGGACGACGACGATTATTACTGGGAGCAAGAATGTCGTTGACGGGTCAACTACGTTCAACTCTGCCACCGTTGGTAAGTGTATTTATGGAGTATTTTTTTTCCCCTTGATTACATTATTATATGCTTGTCATTATTATATGATTATTATATGATTTGGGTTCCTGTACAAAACTTGGACCTGTAAAATCCTGCATAAACTCCTAGTCATATTATCGTATCACGATATAACGGTACGTTGATACGACACGATGTATCATCGTATCACGATATCGCGATATGATTGGATTGTGTAGAGTTTTGCAGGCCGAATTTTTGTATCATATCCGTTCACTTATTATATTGTTAATTAATATGGATTTCACATTCAAGAATCAAGACCACCTGTTTAATTGATTAAATATACATGTGCTTTGACATACGTTAGAGAAAAATTATATAAGATAGTATTGATTCATGTTGTAGTTTTTGCAAACACGAGTTTTAGCAAAATCTTTGGATAAATTTCAAGTTTGGGTATTGTAAATACTAAAAATTTCAAATCTGCCAATAAAAATATTTTATGGGGGCTAAGATGACGGGCTAGGATTTTTTTTTGTATTTTGTAATTTTATTTTTAGTTTTGGTTTTAAATGATTAATAGTAATCTGATTTGACAGGTTTTAATGACATGGAGGTTTTGGATTTGGACTTTTTGGTGTTAAAATTGGCTGATTAGGTGATTTTGTAAAGCATGTTAGCAAAATATTGATGATGTTAACGAAGATTGACGGGAGATAACAGCCAGTGACCAAATTTGAAGTTTTGAACAAAATTAAGTGAGCATGAATGGAATAAAATATTTTTAGTAGAAAACGTGAATTTTTTTTAGTAATCCCACTGTCCAAACTTGAAATGTAACCCTACATCTTGTATAGAATTCAGTGTTTGATCAATAAATTATTAAAGAGTACATTTTAGTATGAGGTAATATAAAATGACTAAAAAATTCCTAATAAAAATATGAATAAAAATAAAATAGTCAACATGGATAATTTTAATTATTTGTATTAAATTTATTATTTCCTTTTTCTTTTTTATAATAATAAAAAAAATTATATCATAGAAAATTTTAAAAATTTATAGATAATGTTGTATTTTCATTTGACCAAAAAATTTGTATTTTGAAAATAATTTTTTGAAGAAGATTCAAATCAAAATTTCAATTTTTAAGTTAAAAGAATAACTTTTTACCTTTTTTCAAACCTTATTACTAGATATCTTACCAACCTATGCATTACAATTTCTTGTTTACATTGTTTTTACCTTTAATTTAAGAGTTACTATTTTTTTACCCGCCCGTTGGGCGGTGTATTTTGTTTGGTTATTTTATAATTCGTTATAGTATTCTAATTGTTATTATTATTTATGCTTGTTAAGGTAATATACATGGAATTGTAAATCCCACTTACCCTATTTCAGATATTGTTTCATACCTTTATACATTTTGTTTATTTTTTACCATTTTAATTTTATTAACTGAGCTCTAGCAATGTTCTAGCAAACCAACCACAAACAAACTATCGGCTGTAACTAACTTATTAAAGCAATATTTTCAGCAAATTAAACTGCATATACTTAAACACAATTTATATTTTGTAGAGAGCTACATATCTCCTGCAGAAAAGAATTGTGCTTTTTTACCTAATAACAATATAAACAAATAATGAAAGGAGCAGTCATCAATACAACTCAACTCATTTTATCATGCAGATTCTTCATTTGTGAACTGAATATATGCATAAATCCAAATAGTAGTTCGTAAGAAAACAATCATGTCAAAATCAAACTTTAGTGAGGGATTCAATGCGGAAAAATTCACCTTAATGAAACAAATAAATGTCACCGCAAACATGTAGAAATTAAAAAAAATATATCAAAGTAGACAACCGAGAAACCAGCATTATCATTTTCTTATAACCTCTTTGCTACCTACTAATTACTAAACATATCATCATTGCATGTCAATCATGAACATAAAATATAATAAAGAACCATCACAACTCTACTTCCATTTCAACATTCAAGAAATCGGGTTGCAATAGATATTCAAGAAAACGATCAATTATTCAACCAAAGGAGGTATGCCCTAAGTCCAACCAATTAACCCTTTTAATTATATTTTATATATTTAAATAAAAGTATATGGCGACCCTTCTCCGTGAAAAACAAAGAAGAAATACATTTACTCATCGAGAGTGGGAAAATTTACCATCCAGCAGCCGTAATTTGGAAGAAATTAAGAAAAGAATGGGAAGAAGAATATAAATCGGCCAGTCAACCGCAAACAATAACATATCGCTGAGAAAGTGAGACCAGTTGCCAGCTTCAGATCAAGGAGGAAGAGGAAGAGGAAGAGGAAGCAGTCGACAACCCTCGGCTTGGTTCACCTCATCTTCACAATGATCAGATGAACTTTTTTCTTTAACAATCAAAAATATGTTACAACTGCTCAAAATTTTGTCATCTAATCGTTGCATCGTGTAACTCCTGCCTCCTATTCTCATACAAAGAAAAAAAATCATATAATTACCATTTCCTTCTCTATAAATTATGAGAATACAAATATTAGAAATCTCAAAAAAATTAGCAACTAATAAGAGGGCTTGTTTATTTTTATGGTGGTTGACCTACTTTCTTGATTTCTTATTTTCAAAGTTGGATTTTATTTCTAGTGAGACAATCAAAATGGGGAGAGGGACAAAAACAAATTAAAAGTTTGCATTAATAATATGTTTTCATTTAATCGGAATAAATAAGAAGTTTTTAGAAAAATAACAATTATTGCCCTGTCAAGTTTATATTCAAATATTTTGCCATAAAAATTCTACTTGTTTTATTAGATAGGTATATACATTAGAAAGAAGTGAGTGTTTGATAGCAAAAAAACATATAGTCATATCGTTTATTTCTCAAAGTCGATTGATTATCAAACACTTGTTTTCTCTTAGACCATCGTTTATATTTTGTTTAATTGAAAAATATTATTATTTATGTGTGTGCTTTTTTTCCTCTCATCAAAATGTAACTTATTATTAAATTTTATTAAATTTTAGTAAAATGAGTAGAAAATATACTTAATCACATTTAATTAGCTTGGGTTAAACAAATACGATATATGTCACTCTCTGTTTCCATCTTTATAGTTTGTTTAATTGAAAAAAAGATTATTACTTATGTATGTTTTTGTTTGTTTGAATTTTCCAAAAAAATTAACTTATTTTAATTTTTGTAAAAATAGTAAAATTATTAAAAGAAGAGAGAGATGACTTCATAAATAGATCAATAAATAGTTTTTTGTTAGTAAAAAATTGTCCACTTTAGCAACTTGTGCACTCACCAAGTGCTTATGTGACAAGAAGTTATTTTTGAATATCCATAATATTTAGTATAAATAAATAGATACTTCACCTCCCCATTAATATTGATTTCGGGATTCACCATGACACACTGTGGTTCCATCCTAATTGTTGGAGATAGTTAACAATCACGATTATCTGGTGTATATTATAATGAATTTTTTCATAGAATCTATTACATATCAAGTTATCAACCACCATTCAACCTATATTTATCAACATGGTCACTTATATATGTACGTTCTTGAACTATATATGGTCGTAGGACTGTCGCCCATCATCACTAGACCCCAAATAATTCTTGTTTTTCAGTAATTGTTGGTATGATCATGTGGTGGCACATGGCACACTTCACACGTGAACATATGGCCAATTGGTCCCTTGCACGTGCAGCCATGCGCCAATCTTATGCTAGCGTCTTGCGATCTTTCCACATCGGGCACAACAAAATGATTCTTCTTCTGCCATCTCTTCCTTTTTTATCGTTGGTTAATATTCTCTCTTCGACTTGAGTAAGTTTATTATAAAGAAAACAAAGTCACCCAAAACCATCGTTTTGCTAGGGTAGGTAGAGCATATGCATATATTTATTGTATGAAGAATTAGTACATGGTCTTTCCGCGTTCTTATTGAAGGAAGGTGGGTCAAATCTCAACGAGGACATTTGAATCCTAAAGCGGTGTATAATACATTAGACAAATCTCGTATCTATAAAACACGGGAGATATTCATGATTAATAAGAAAGAAACTGCAGCTTAAGTGACCAGAGTAGTTTTGAGGTGAAATGAAAGAGTTGATGGGAAGTCACCTTGATATGTACCCCAAAGCTAAACCTGTGAGGATCTAGTTCCATAGCGGACAATAGCTTGTCGGGAAAAGGTTCGGGAGGTTACAAGAAGTATCAGAGCCTCTCAGCATCCTCTTTAACAATGGTGGGGCAACCTCAACGAGGACGTTGAGTCTCTAAGGGGTTATATGTAACCATTTAGAAAAATCCCACATGGACAAAGTACGGGAGAGATCCATGACTCATAAGTACGAAACTGACCTTAATTGTCAAGTAGCATTTTTGGGTGAAATGGAGGAGTTCTTGTGAGAACTCCGAAGTTAAATGTGCTCGTTGTGGAGCATGCAAGGATGAGCGACCTTATGAAAAAGTTACTTTGATATGCATTCCAAGGAAAACTCCGTGAAAGTCTAGATCCAAAGCGAACAACATCTTGTCGGCAAAAAGGTTCGAGATGTTACATGATCTGTGTCGCTACTCTGGCTCCATTTTTGTTATAAAAAAACTCTCCCACCAAATTGGAGGCCATTAAAAATTATAATTGTACTCCATATATAATTAATTTAGGTGTTTATCTAGTGGCGGATTTAGAAATTTTGTATAGGTATATCCTCTCCTAAAAATTAAATTAAATAAGAAAATATTCAACTTGTACAAAATACAACAAGCACATGACGTGTTTCGCATTCTGAAAAAATTAAAATACAATCGGTGTCTAACAATGCTCTACAAATCTCTCTCGATATATCGTACTAGACAAATGGAGTCCGTAATTAGATTTAATCGTTATATTTTGAAAATAATTGAGGATAAACATAACTTTTTACTATTATATTTGGATTTAAAATACAAGAACAAACGAGTTGTAGTTAATGAAAAATATGTCTACTAACAATAGCAGCGAGTCAAGTTCAAATTACATAGGCTAGCACTAAAATGGTTTTATTCACCCATACGCAAACTACTAATAAGGGTTGAATGATCGTTTTTCCAAATTTAGTAATGTCCCGCTAACACTTCAATATTTTTCACTCATATACAAACTACTTTCGATGGTTGAATAATCGGGTTCCTAAATTTTAGGGCATCTCAAAATTCCATGGATCCGCCACTGTGTCTATCTGAACAAATTCTATGAAGAAACTAAAATAATTGAGGTGTCTATTTGTATCGTAATAGTATATTTGTAGTAATCCCTTACATATGGTATATCCATATATGGTATAGGTTGTTTGATATGTAGCTACCTATGTACCCTTGTTTTTAATGTTTTTATTTTGAGAATACACGATTCTTTATGATGTGCCATCTCTTTTCTAAATAAGTTGGTTAATTGCATGAAAATATTAGTAAATGGTATGGCATTCATGTTTAAGTCTATTCTAACAAATTAAATTATTGGATTCTATGTTTCAAAACTCATAAGAATTTCTTTCTTTGTGTGATGGAATGGGGCAGCGGTGGTGGGTCAGGGTTTTCTTGCTAGAGACATAACCTTCCAGAACACGGCGGGGCCCTCAAAGCACCAAGCTGTAGCACTCCGAGCTGGCGCTGACCTGGCAGCATTCTACCGCTGCAACTTCCTAGCTTACCAGGATACCCTGTACGTCCACTCCAATCGCCAGTTCTTCCACAGTTGCATCGTCGTTGGCACCGTCGACTTCATCTTCGGCAACTCTGCCGTTGTCTTCCAGAACTGTGACATCCACGCCCGCCGGCCGAATCCGGGCCAGAAAAACATGTTGACTGCCCACGGTGGTACCGACCCTAACCAGAACACTGGGATCGTTATCCAGAAGTGTCGGATCGGCGCCACATCGGATCTCCTGGCTGTGAAGGACAACTTTGGCACTTACTTGGGGAGGCCATGGAAGCAGTATGCTAGGACGGTTATCATGCAATCAACCATAAGCGACATAATCCACCCTACGGGATGGCATGAGTGGGATGGCAATTTTGCCCTGGACACATTGTTTTATGGGGAGCATAAGAACACCGGGGCTGGGGCGGCTACCAACAAGAGGGTGAAGTGGAAGGGGCATAAGGTTATCACTAGTGACACGGAGGCGGTAGGGTTTACTACTGGTCGGTTCATTGCTGGAGGGTCTTGGTTGGCGTCCACCACTTTCCCATTTAGTCTCGGATTGTGATTTGATTTTGATTATTAATCAATAATAGTAATCAAGATAAATAGGAATGCTATGAAATAAGCCATTTGAGGGTGTATTCAATTCGAAATTTTAGAGGACAGTTCTCTTTGTGCGAATGGGAGGCAGGGTGCTCATTAAACCAATGACCCACCTGATTCCATGGGAAATTGGATGATTTTTTACTTACTTTTACTAAACCACTAAACTACGACCAAGTGTAATCGTAAACTAGGAATGCATTATAGGGTTCAGGTTTTAAATATCAACTTAGGTCATAGGTCTACTGGTTACTCCGTGCAAATCTGTTATCTAGCGATGGAATTCGAGTGAAGTGTTAGAAAGCAAAGTAAATAGAAAGTTGTAAATGTTCTGGTTTCAAGTGTGAGAAAGGTTACCCCGGTATGTGTCCCCCTAGTCTACAGTTAATTTAGATTGTAATTTCCTAAGTTCATTTCAATTCACAGATATATTGCTGAAAGTTCTTAACAAGTCTGGAATCTCAACTAAAGAATTCCATATCCTCTTAGTTCAAATACCTGGCGAACGACTAACCTCCATCGGAATAAGCTAACTGAGGTACTAACATACACAACTTTCTCTACTGGTTTTCAATCATAGTATAGAGCAGTGAATCGATTCACTACTTCCAATTAAGGTTGCTCTTTTAACCTATGTAGAGACTATCATTCTAGGTTAAAGCAGGAATCACAGGAATTTGACCAGGACTCGTGCAAAATTCTGAATAATGCCCTAATTGAATATATCAAAGTCAATCATTCATAAAAACGGGTTCATACAACCATTCTTAACATACACTACTAGAGTTCTTCATACCCAGATGAGAAAAGATATTACTCCATGGAGAGTAGACAAAACACAAGGCTTGAAGGAGAAAACATCATGTGTAGAATGAGATTCTGCTCTAGATTGGAAATCGACACTCTAAGGGTCAAAGATCGAGCTCCAATGACCTTAGATGCCTCTAATCTCTTCCCAGGGTTTTTCTTAATCACTTTCTCTTTCTAGGGCTCTGTCTTGCTGTTTCAGAACTTGGAAAACCGGATCCCTAGCTAAAATCCCGAGTTTCAACTAGTGGGCTCGATGGTGAAATCCACGGTCAGATTCCACGATCGTGGAATTGGGTTCCAGACCATGGAACTTCAAAATAGTGTGTGGGAGTTAGTTGTCCTCGTGCGATATCCACGGTCATTCACCTTCAATAACCGATCGTTCCTTTCACTCCCGACCATGAATCTTTCAAATTCGAGCTCCAAGAGGCTCTTTGGTTTCGGTGGTGGTGGAGTATGAAGTGCTCCCTTACTCTCGGCCATGATCTTTCTAGTTTGAGCTCCAAGAGGATCTTTGGTTTCGGGATTGAAGTTGGGCGAGTTGTCCCAATGCCCTTTAGTCGCTTCGTCAATGTTTCCATTCACTCCATGGACATCTCAAACTTGGTCTTCACCTTAGGTTGTGGAGGTGGCTCTTGATATAATGGTGGAGGATCTTAGTAACCATAAGGGGTATTGTTGGTGAACAGTGAAAGGTGGTTCGTCTTGAAACCGGGTTCCTTGTCCTTCATTTCTCCTTGAACTTCCTGGGTAAAAACATTCGGTAGATAGTTTCATACCCCCACACTTGGTTGAAGTCATGGGGATCCATGTTTCAATAGCTACAAACACGAAAAATAATAAAAAGAAGATCAAACCAACAAAAACCACCCTTTGGAGAAAGAGTGGTGTAACAAATCACAAAAAAAAAAAAACACAATACAAGAACAATAAACGAAAGAACAAACACAAATACAACTAAAAAGGTAAAAAAAAAAAAACAAACAGAAAACACAAGACAAAACTAGTAGATCTAAACCTTTTCAAAATAACCTAGACTTCTCCAGCAACAGCGCCAAAAACTCGATGCACATTCTGGACCAAGCTCAAAAACTCAGTTAATACTCTCTATCTACCCTACCTAGGTCAAGTATACTCTAAGTTGGCAAAGTAGTAAAGTGGTGACCGAGGTCGTATTCCCAAGGGCCCTCTAGATCTGTTACTACTCCATTCCTCGACTTACTATCTAGTCAAGCGTGATGGTTGAGGATTTAGGTGTGAACAAATAAAGAAAAAAACTAAAAGTGAGGAATATCACAAGAGATAAAATATTGCTTGAGGTGTGGAGGTCACTAAGATAGGGATCGGTTAAATGGTCATGCAACCGACCCCCCTTCTAGCCGTTTCCACCGGTCCAATGTCACTACAACCGATTTCCTGGACTAGAGGTACGTCCTACCTCCTATACATGGGTTGCACCAATCCACACACAAGTAGGGTAAGTCAATGGTCATGCACTTAAATGACAAGCATCAATTAGGCGAGCTCCTAACTAGAGGGGGATGTTCACCTCTTCCTATAGTTAGGCCTCTAGCTCGCCTAAGCAAGGTAAGAACCATTCAACATACATCTACACCAAAATTAGAAACATTAAGCACTCTGATCAAACACACGCAGACCATACATTCATATCTAAAATATGATGGATTCCTTGTCATCTAAGTTGCAACCAATGGCAAATGGGACATAGACAATCCCACACTTATTGATGTACTCCCTAACTTTGCTCTAGGAGGGTGTTTCTCGCTCCTAGGTCAAGAATAAAAATATCACTCACACCGAAGTAAGAGATTAACATGAATAAACATGAATTAGGCATAGATATATATGTCAAAATCGTTCTTACACATGACCCATAACAATCTACAAGTTGGGGTTCATCTTCCTAAACAACAAGAGAAGCTAAAACATAAAGAGAGAAAGAGTGTACAAATGGGAAAGAGATGACAACTCCATGCCTAGATCCTTCTTCTCCTTCTTGATTTGATCACTCTTCTTGAATCTTGGAAGGTTTTGGGGTTAAGATGAAGAAGAAATCACCTAAAACCTCTCCAACCTTGTCACTCTCACTCTACTTCTTCTCATACTTTGTTTTTCTCTCTAGGATGCCGATATGTATACACGCTTAAGCGTTCATTTAGACTCATTTTAATATTAGATTGTCCAATATGGACATAAATTTGTATTGAAACATTTACAATTGGGCATGTGACATTGTCACTCTTTTTGTTGAGTAAACGACATATGAAATCAATATGTTTTTTCTCAATGAATCATCATATGAACTTTGGGTTTATATTTCTTAGGTTGAGGATCAAAGTGAGATAATAATGATTCCAACTCACATCCATGTCCAACTTTTTACTTTCCTCTTCCTTATTCGAAAAGTGATTCATCAAATGATGATAATTGGCAAAAAGAGTCATGCGGAAATCTCTCATTGCAATGGACACTCCTGTCCAAATAAGCTGTCATGGAACTCATAACATGTTGTGGTGGAACAATTGAGATGTGTTCTGCATACCCAAATTTTATCGCGTTTGAAATGTTTGATCCCTGACCAAAACCATTTTTATGAAGGGGGAACTTATGATAACTAATTGGATTCATGTAAATTACCCAAATTTTATCGCGTTTGAAATGTTTGATCCCTGACCAAAACAATTTTTATGAAGGGGGAACTTGTGATAACTGATTGGATTCATGAAAATTAATGCGGAGTGGATCAGGTTAGTAACCTTGTGGTGAGTAATCATGAGTAACCCAACCATAATCCGCCACATTAGCACCACTCTCTCACATGGAAAGCCTGCAATTTTTTCCCTTTAATTTTTAACAGACAATTTCTCTCTCATATTAATTCGGAATTCAAATTTTTTTTGCATAGTTAAATCAGATTAATTGTGCACTTCAAAATGATATTCACTTTGATATTTTATAGAAATAAAAAAATTGAAGCATTTTTTACTAGTCTATATCATGGTGGTATTGGGAGGGTTTATTGTGATTACTATGAAGGGCAAATTGGGTATGAAAAAACTTATTTATTAATTTTCTTTTTTTAATAATTACATTTGAGGAATTCAAAAAAATATTAATTACAATTTTCTCACTCTCTTTCTCTCACTTCCACAATCTCCAGCCAGATCTCTCTCCCTTTTTTCGCGAAGTTTTTCTTGCTTCCGTTCAGTCGAAATAATAACTCTATAAAAAGAAGAAAAGAAAAATCAATACCAATTCATTAGAAAATCACTATCACTTTGAAAAACATCAATACCATTGCAGAAATAAATTAATACCATTATAAAAAAATAATACCATTACCCTAAAACTACATACCAATACAAACAATATGTACCATTACAAGAGTCAACAAATACCAAAATCAATCAATACAACTACTATTGTGAAATCAAAACAATACTATTGCAGAAATAAATTAATACAATTATGAAAAACGAACTATATCATTGCAGAAAACAAAACAACGAATTAGTACCAAAACAAAACAAAAAACCAGATTTAGGTTTTTATGTCTACGATGGATAGAGAGATAGGGAGGGAAGGAGATTACCACCATCACCCATCACCATCTCACACCTCCACCACAGCCGTCTCCCATAGAGAGAGAGAGAGGAGGAGGAGGAGGGCAGCGGTGGGCGAGGGTACCCGGAGGGGTGGCCGCAGCGGTGACCGCAGGTGGCCGCCAGCGAAGGAAGGGAACCACCAACATGAGAGGTGTTGACGGCGATAGAGAATAGATTTGGAGTAGGGTTTAGATATAATATATATAAGGGTAAATGCCAAGTTTGGTCACTGGATTTGCTAAAATATGTCTTGTTTAGTCACTGAAAAAATTAATATCGATTTTGATCACTCGAATAAGTAAAACGGTACACATTTAGTCACTCTCCGTTAATTTTATCTGATGTGTCAATCAACTCTAACAGTTGACCGTTAAATGTTTGACATGACAATTATAAAATTAACATAAAAATAAATTTAATTCTTTTATTATTTCTTCATTATTAAAATAATAAAAATAATAAAAAACATTCATGTTGGTGTGAGTTTTGGGAGTGATTGGAACTTTAACGATAAACTGTTAGTGTTGACTACCACATCAGATAAAGTTAACGGAGAGATAAAACGTTGTGTGTTTTACTAATTCTAGTGACATAAATTGACATTAACTTTTTTCAGTGACTAAACATGACATGTTTTAGTAAACTCAGTGACCAAACTTGAC